TAGGCAAGGTAAGCATGGTGCTTACCTAGCTTACTAGATCATCTGTAGTGAACAATTCCACATTTTTTCACCACATCACAGATTCTCATTCTAGGTATGGCTGGCATCTGTCTCTGTCCCAATCCCACAGAACCTTCCTAGAGAATCAAAGCTGCTTTTCAAATTTACAATCCTTTCTCGGGGAACATCTAGCTCAACTGGCATAACACAGTTTATAAAGAAAATGTTCTACATTATACCTTGGTGAGTAGCGTCTGGGGTCTTAAAAGCCTGTAAGCAGCCATCTAAGATAGTCCATTGGTCTCACTCCTTCGGGAGCAAGGGAGAATGAAGAGAATGAAAGATACAAGGGAAAGATTAGTCCAAAGGACTAATGGACCACAACTGCCATGGTCTCCACCAGACTGAGTCCAGTACAACTAGATGGTGCCCGGCTACCACCACTGACTGCTCTGACAGGGATCCCAATACAGAGTCCTGGACAGAGCTGGAGAAAAATGTAGAACAAAATTCTAACTCCCAAGAACCACCAGACCTACTGGCCTGACAGGGACTGGAGAAACCCCAAGAGTATGGATCCCAGACACCCTTATAGCTCAGTAATGAAGTCACTCCCAAGGGTCACCGTTCCACCAAAGATTAGACAGCCCATAAAACAAAACGAGACTAAAGGGGCACAACAGCCCAGGGGCAAAGACGAGAAGGCAGGAGGGGGACAGGAAAGCTGGTAATAGCGAACCCAAGGTTGAGAAGGGACTGTGTTGACATGTTGTGGGGTTGTTAACCAATGTCATAAAACAATATGTGTACTATTTAATGAGAAGCTAGTTTGTTCTGTAAACTTTCATCTAAAGTACAATAAAAAAAGAACAAACAAAACCAAAAAATAATAATTTCAAAAGTAACACACACACAAAAATTTACAGTCCCTGATGGGGGCGGACGACCCAGTAAGCAAGGTAAGCACGGGCTTACTTGTGCTTACTTGCTAATCTGTAGAGAACAGTTTCACATGGGTTTTATGTCATGAAATCCATGTGAAATTGTTCACTACAGATAAGCAAGTAAGCACAAGTAAGCCCGTGCTTACCTTGTGTATTGGCTAATCTGCCTCTTGAGATGTGGTCACCTCTCTGAAGAAATCAGCCTCTTCTGGATGAAGACTGAAATACGAAACACTTTATAAAATTGTCCCCAAGATTAATTTTTAAAGGATGGCCTATATTTGATGAGCACTGTGGCTGAGAACAACATATTTCAATAAAAATAAAAGGTTCATTTGATGACTCCTGGTGTATTCAGAAGTCTTTATAAATGCTGTTGGAAAAAGCGGGTTGATTTAAGTTTCTTTATCAATAAACTGGCTCTAATACCACACTTGATGAGTAAACCACCCCACTATTATTAATATTTTTAAGAGCAAGAGAAAGAATTAATGTAGAATCTATGAGTTACCAAGCCTGCTTCTGACAAAAATGACAATCACTCTAGAAACATGTTTTAACATGTATTGCACTCTGAACTCTTTTTAATTAACTGGACATCTGCATGGAGAGGGGATGAGGGAGGAATCTCAGAACTGTTGCTTATTAGACACAGCAGATCACACCAAGAAATCAATATTATGTCAACACTTCAAAACTTGACTCTTAGTGCTTCTAATTTGTGGCGTCTTGCGTTGGTTCGTTTCTTTGTTTTTGGTTTCGGTTTGTTTTGTTTAGATCCCTCTGACTTTCTGGGTAAAATACAGCAAGGGTGCCCTGAGCTAGGTTCCATCTTCTAGCACATTTTCTCCAATCATAATCCTTTCTCTCTCACTGGGGGAAGAAAATGCAGCATTTCACGGACTCAGGCCAGGGCTGGCATGCCCATTTCCAGTCCAAAAGCTGCCACTTGAGGAGAAATTTCAAACTATTGATTCTACATCAGTTGCATTTTCCCCCTATAAGACTCATCTGAATCTTATTCGTCTAAATGGGTTTCGAATGGGGAGCTCAGTGTTCAGGTGCAAAAGAATGCATCTGGGGACTCTGAATTTCCACTCTGTCAAGATTCTCAGCTGGCTTATAGGCAGCTGTGTTCATTTTTTAATTACCCAGGTGGTACAGACGATTTGCAGCATTCCACCTGAAGTACCACCTCAGCCCTTCGCTGTTAACCAAAGAGCGGGAAGAAAATCACGCCGGTGGAGGGTGGGGGTGGTGGTCAGTAAAAGGAAGGTGAGAATTCTATTAAGTTCTCCACGAATAAATCAATTCAGTTGGAATTGCCTTTTATATGTTGTACCAATAACAAACCAGATACTCTGAGGTACTGATATTTCAAAGCTATGGTGGCATCTTTATTTTGACTTTATGTTTCAAAGACTGGAAATCAAAGGGATGGATTTTTCTGATTAAAAAGCTGCCCTAATTTAGCCACCTCTGTATCTCTTCCTAAGCTGGCTCATTTTCATCACATCCACGTCTTCAAGGCTGCACAAGCTAGGTGGAAATAAAACAGAGGCTCTGGTTTCAAACACATAATTAGCTTGGAGTCACAAAGGCACAGTCTTCTAGGAAGGAGGTGATGTCAGAAGGGGGAAAACTAAGGGAAATCTGATGTTTTATTGTAAGCCCCTACAAACCATTCCGGGCTAGGAGCTTGTTGTAGATTGTACCAATAAAGGGGAAGCCTGACAGAGGGTGGAGGTGAAGCGCGTGACTCGGGAACGAGCCTTTCGGAGTCTCATACCATTAGTGCATTACCTCAGGCACATTACGTATTACCATGTGTCTTCATTTTCCCATCTGTAAAATGGGGAGGTGATGCCATTTACCTCAAGATTAAAGGAGAAACGCCATGTAAAATGCTTAGCACAGTGCCAGGCGTTCTTACTGAATGCTAAATACTAAATGAAATACTAAAGTACTAACGAATGTGTTTACTAAATGGAAATTGCTACCGCATTTAAAGAGAATCTTGCTATAAGGTGGTAAAATTTCAGAAAAATTACAGTTCTTTAGTCTGGTTAAAGAATAAATGATCTCGTTGTGATATTTAAAAAACCTTTGAATCATTTTTCCCAACGTGGCACAGATTTTTATTCCTCAGAATAGATTACAGCAGTTTTTCTGGCTATGGCACTCTGGACTTGTCAGAAGTAAATACTTTTAAAATGCTTTTAAAAGTGATACTCTTCGGGACTCTGCACACCAACTCTAATCAAACTGAAGGCCCTAACCTCAAAGATACATGTGCCCTGTTGGTGGTCCTCTGACAATGGAGTCCTCCCAGTTTTGTAAGCCTGCCACCTGGAGGGTTTCTGCAGTAACTCAGATTACCGAAGAGCTTGAGATGCTGCTAAACTCACTTCAGACCTAACCTGTCACAGCAGCTGTACAAAGGAGAACGATTACTTGGAAACGTGAAGGGCGGTGTGTCAGGAGGGACGGATGTTCAGTGCTGGGGGTTCACACAGCGGTAATTACCAACAGCCCAAAGATCAAGTTTTTTTCTTTTAAATATCCAACTGCCAAGGACCACTCAGTTCCCAGCCAGGATTTATGGCATCCTAAGACTGACTGTGGTGGCTAATAAGGCAATACAACAGGTTCCCCCGGGTTTGGGGATTTGTCTCCTTTTGAGCTGAGCTACATTAATCAACATTCACTCTACTTGTGGTTTGCCTCCAGCTTCCAAGGGGTGTGTGAAGGGGTTGTGCCCCAAATGGAGCAGATGCAAGTACTAATGTCTTCGACTATTTCCACGAGCTGCCTGAAGACGACCTCGGGGCCTGCAAAACTGCCCTTCTAAGAAGGAACCTACACCTGCGGGGTCCAGGCATGTGCGATATGCCCAACTTTACTTTCAAAATCTCTGAAAATACATAGTCAGACCTCCTCTTGCTTCCCATTCAACCTCGCCTTTAACTTTCATTATAATATATTCTCTACTTGTTTCACCCTGAGAAAGACGATGCAGATTTGTTGACTGTATAACAAAAAGAGAAGATTAAAATATCAGTTTGTTTCCAATCCAGCAATTACTTACTCATCCTATCACTGTCTAGGATAATTGTATTAATAGCCTGTCTCCCAGATTTGTGAATAAACAACAAAGAATTCAGACCACCTTTTTCTCTCTAGGGAAAAAAAAAACGTAGTTAACCAGGTAAGGCGCTTAAAAACCATTACTAGCAGTGGTGGCCAGAGAGTCATTTTGCAGTAGTTTGAATGTAATAACAGCCACTTTTCTCTCGATCAGCAATAGATACAGAAACAGGAGAGCCGGAGCTGAGCATCTGACAGACAGCAGCACAAGTAGTCTGTGCACAGACAGACAGAAGGGAAGTCACAGTCTCTTGTGATTACAGCTGTTCACGGCATGGACAGGTGACTCGCTAGAGGTTTACTTTAATGCTCCGAATACTCTTCATAAATCCAGTTGTCTTTTAAAAGGTGCACAGCACGCACCTGATCTTACAGGAGGCTCATCTCATTCGTTCTGTCTTGGTATCAGACCTTATGAAATCAGCACACACCTGCAATATTTGGTAGTTACTTATGGAGTTTAAAAAATTCTTGTTCTGGTACTTATGAAGAAACTTTAATTAAAATGACGAGCAGGTTGAAGCACTATGAATGTCCTTCGCACAATAAACACACCTGAGGAGGGTGGGGTAGAATTACGCTTCATTTTTAACCAGCCAAATATAAGTTTGTTCAAACAGTTTCCTGACTAAGTTGCAAGAAACCTGACATATACCCCAACAGCTAAGGTAAGCATCTCTCTCTCACGCAACGCAGCCTCTTCGGTTTAAACCCACGGACACACGAAAGCAAAGTAAAAACAAAAAACCAAAGATGCTCTCACTGAAGATTTCAAAGATGATATCTGGAGATAAAATCCACAGCGCATCCCACATGTATGTATGCAAACACACACACACACACACACACACACACACACACACACACATTCCCACAGCTATCTGTAAATCAAGGTAGATACAAACTTACCGGAGCAAATATCACCATACACATTTACAAAAGAATTGATAATCCAACTTCCCTCTCCTGAAAGAAGGTAGAGGTTGTCTCATACTAAAAATAAAGCTTCTCTGTCCACAGCACCAGCCACTTGTCCCTCTTTTTAAGAAGCAAAGGAGGAGAACAAGAAAATCAATGCGGAGGGAAAGTGAGATGTCATACCAATCAGGTAGCAGCTTCTGCCTTATTTGCAGAGAGATGACAGAACGGTCATATTATGAGGCAGTGACAGCCCACAGCCGAAGGAGAGGAATCGGATACTTCCCTCTGGTGAGGCGCTCCCTGCTTTGTAGGGAGGAAGCTCCCACCCTGGTGAGCTCCCACACTTGGCTTTTAGCTCACAACTCCAAGTGCAGGACTGCCTTTCACAAGCAGCCTGCCTCATCCCAAGAGCACCAGCCCCTTTCACCACCAGCCCCCTCCTCTCTCCAACGCAATGCTCAAAAGCAAACTGAGAAATGAGATGGAGCCAGGATTGTGTGTGCAGGGGGTGCGGATGGAAAGGAGTGGTTTTAGAAAATCCTTATGAATTGATTTGCATACATTAAGTAAATGTTTATACATTTGTTTTAAAAAAAAAAGTCTTCAGTTTTATGGAACCACAGGGATGCTAGGCTTGATCCCCATTTGGGAAATTCATACAGTGCCCATAAATAATAATTAAGGTGATGGTCCCGGGTGCTGGCACTCTGTAAGGGACAAATTACAACTTGGTTGCACATTCATTATATGAGTGTTATTTACAGCTCTTCCCCTGCAAAACCTCAAAATTTAAAAAGGTTTCAGAGGTTTACATGTGACCCGGGTCTGCTTTTTCTGTCAGTGAGCCTCCGCAGGAAGGAGCTGAGCTTGACTAATTCAAGAGGCCGAAATCATGGCACCCTGTGGCAACATTTTCTTTTTGGATTGGCACCAAATTCATGAAGAGGCTGTCCACAAGTTAGACAGACATCCCATAACGGCTTCCTGCGGTAAATTTCTCCCAGGGCCTGGACCACAGGCTGAGTTGGATAAATCTATACGCCTCTCTCTTCCCCTCACTTTCCTCGCTTCCCAACCCCACTCAGCACAGGTAAACTGATTGGCCTTGGATGGTCCCAGGTATCTCTGCTTTATTTTCTGTGTAGTTGGCGATGGCCCAGCTGATACTCACCTTGGTTGGCCATCTTTTTTTATAAAAACCAAATCTGTTGCCATCAAGTTGATTCCGACTCATAGTGACCCTATAGGACAGAGTAGAACTGCCCCATAAGGTTTCCAAGGAGCAGCTGATGGATTCAAACTGCTGACCTGTTGGTTAGCAGCCAAATGCTTCAAGTGGTTATTAATTCGGATACGTAGGGTTCTGTGTTCGGTAGGGGGCCACTGAAAATGAAGGCAGCCCCCTAGGAGCTGGACTGACACAGTAGCTGCAACAATGAACTCACACACACCAACAGTCACGAAGAATGGCGCAGCACTGGGCAACGTTCCATCCTGTTACATGTCAGGCCGCCATGCGCTGGAGCCAACGGGTCGGCAACTAACCACGACATTAATTCCGAATCCGTTCCCAGTCTTTCTCTGAGTCAGTCTTTCTCTCTGTCTCTCTCTCTTTCTCTCTCTCTCTCACACACACACACAGCATACACAAACACACAGTCACCACACACACACTCAGCACACACACACCACGCACACACTCCCCACACACACACACTCACTCCCCACACACACACACACACACACACAAGCTCACCACACACACACTCAGCACACACACACCACACACACACTCACTACACACACACAGCACACACAAGCTCACCACACACACACTCAGCACACACACACACACACACACATACACACACTCACCACACAGCACTACGAACACCACCCCAGGGTTCCCACCGCCATCATCTCCCTGACCCCATTTCTCCCTCCTCCTACACAGAGTAACAACTCTCAGCAGGGGAGCAGAGGGAGAGGTAAGGGGGGAACATAGGGGAGGTCAGGGGACCAAACAAGCAGAACATGACGAGGAGTCAGGTGACCTGGTTTCTAGTCCTAGCTATCTCTTTACTCTCCATGGGACTTGGGGAGGCCCCTTAACGTGGCTGCACCTTAGCTTGTCCTTTGTAAAACGGGTGTAACAACACCGCATAGAGCTGCTAGGGGGGAGGCGTGCAGAACAAATGAAAAATGGCTGCCCAACCCACAGTTCCACATACAAGCTGGGCTCGGGGTCCTCCCCTCCTCCTTTTGTTAGCTCCTTCTTCATGTGTGAGCCTTCAGGGTGCTTCCTAGCTCTTCAAACTGCCTATATGCCCCGGCCCCTTTGAAATTTTGATAGAAACCAGCTTCTCCCCACTGCCTCCACCATCTCCCCCTTACCTGCCTATTGAAAAAATCACTACATTTCAGTGAAAGAAATCACTCGGGAGCAAATTAAGCAAGTGAACACAGTGGAAGCAGAAAAAAGGCTGAAGACCAGAAGGCATTGATGGTCAGCACTCAGTAAGTATTTGCTGAATAAATGAATGACAGACTGAATGAATGAGTAACGTCTCTGGACCGAAGGCCACATTTCCTGCCAGGTGGCTGATAAGGAGCAGAGTTTGAGGTTGCCATTTTCAGCAACACACCTGTGGGGAGAGTCATACTTAGTAGTTTCTTCCGGGTTGAGAATGAGCAATTCCCAACAGTTTTAAATATTAAGACCCCCATTTCAAGTTAAAAAAAAAAAAGTTTTTCTTTCCATATAATAATAGTATTTTTATTCCATTTTTATTATTGTTAGCTGCCGTCAAGTTGGTTCTGACTCACGGCGACCCCATGTCCAACAGAATAAATGTTGCCGGGTCCTATGCCATCCTCAGGATCTTGGTAGGCTCACGTCCATTGTGGAGGCCACTGTGGATGCTGAGTGCCCTCCAGCACAGGGGGGCCCCTGGGCGGTGCGGACAGTTAAGTGCTGGGCTGCTAACTGAAAGGTTGGCAGTTGAGTCCACTCAGAGGCACGTTGAAAGAAAGGCCTGGCAGTCAGCTTTCAAAAGATCACAGCCATTCAAAACCCTATGGGGCACAGTTCTACACTGATACACACCGGGCTTCTATGAATCAGGATATGGCAACTGGTGGTTTCCAACCTAGGGGGCTCATGTTCCAGCACCATATCAAACAATATTCTGTTGTAATCCATATGGTTTTCATTGGCTAACTTTCAGAAGTAGATTGCCATAGTCTGTCTTAGTCTGGACGCTCTGCTGAAACCTGTCCACCATGGGTGAGACCCTGCTGGTATTTGAAATACCAGTGGCATAGCTTCCAGCATCATAACAACATGGAAGCCACCACAATACGACAAACTGAAAGATGCAAATATTTTAATGCAAATAACGCACGCCTTCTACGTTTGTTTGCCAACCATGCTCCCCTCCCCCGGTGAGGTATTTTCATAAGCACCACTCTGGCAATTTTTTTTACCTGTCGCTGTAAAAAACTCAGCATGGTGCGTTTATGAAAATACCTTGCTGGGGTGGGAGGGTGCAGTTGGCAAACAAGCTTACGAGGTGCCTGTTTTTTGCATAAAAATACAGTGTTCCATTTTATAGATGAGGAAACCAAGGCCCAAAGAGTAGCGTAACTTATCCAAAGGTACACAGTTAATATTTGATAAAGCCAAGACTTGAACCCGGTCCCATACCGGGATCTGAGCTTTTAACCACTCTGCTCTAGATGTGACATGATGGCACGTAGACTTTTATTTGTTCAGTCTACAGTGTATGACTACTAAACACATGGATACACAGATCCCTGCAACAGCAGCTCCACAGCTCTCCCCACTGCACAGATTTCACACCATAAAGACAGAGAACGCCTGGTATAGACAGAGAGTCTACAAGCAGACAAGGACTTGGACTTGGGAAAGTTACTTAATACCCTGGCAGGTGGAGGTGTGAGGCTCAGTCTTGAGTTTGCTGGTGGTTTGCTCTATGACCCGTGGTGTGTACCTCAATTTATCCATGCCTCAGTTTTTCGCAATTTTAAATGGAAGGTTTCCCACTAAATGATCTTTCAAGGGCTTTCTGGGTTGACTTCATCTACATAAGGTCCTAAGACTAAGAGATTGATTCTAGTCCTATGGTTGGGTTAGATTTTCCTGGCACACATTTTATTTCAGTTAGAGCATTGACATTCTCTGTATCTCTCCTACTATCACCCTACCACCAGCATCTCATGCCTGGACCTCTGTAATACGCTCCCAGAAGGTCTCCCTGCTTTCACTATCACCCCCTGTAATTCATTTGCCATACGGTACCCAGATTGAGTCTTTTAAAATATCAATTAGATCATATCAGTCATGTAAGAAAATACTTCAATAGTTGTCCAACAGGCTTAAAAGAAAACTGAAACTCCTTATCACGACTTCAAAGCCAGTGTGACCTGGCTTCCACCTACCCGTGTGAACATTTGGTGGATAAAGAAATGGATGAATGAATGGATGAATCGATATGAGAACAAGTCAGACCTGACATGGAGATAAAGAAATCTACATTTACCAAAGAGCTAAGCCTTGAAACGCAGGGCAGATGAACTCAGATGACTGATTAAACCACATTAGTGGATAGGCTGCTTTACTTCCTCATTCAGAGAACATTCTTGAGGGACTGCAGATTTCAGGGTCATATTGATTTCGGTGGAGGTTATGCCAAAGATGGTGGAGAGCCCCTTTGGTAAACCGTATTGATCGGTTGTTTATTAGAGGCTTGGGCTCCCAGGGCTTAGTTCACTAGGCCCACATGGAACAGCTGATATTGGGTACTGACCACACATTTGTCATTAGAGAGCAGAGTCTTGTCTGCTAGCCACTTAGACTGTCCTCACCTCCGGATGATCTGGCAGTCCAGACAGTTGGCTGCCACTCTCTCCCATGCAGTGGGAACTGACAAAAATAAAGCAATGTGCCATTATTTGATGGTTCTTGTTTGGAAAATGATATTAGCATTGTTGCTACTGCATCAAAAATAAAAGTTATCCATTATTAGACTACTAAAAATAGAAGTCCAATGTTCTCCAAGCTAGGTATTTATAAAGAAGGTGAAGTGGATTAAAATAATCTGTGATTCTCTGAAACCTCATTAGCAATGCTAATTTTCAATATGGTCAGATCTTCAACTCTGATCTTTCAACCTCTGTGATCTTTCAACTGAGCATGACCTTCAGACAACTTCAAATGGTTTTTTTTCTCCTCCTAACTGAAATGCTTGCCTCCCCTTTGGTGGCC